CCCCAAAACCCCAAAACCCCATAAAACTGAATATGTCATTATTTTTAAGTAAGTTTGATTTATAATTAGATAATAATAATTATTAAAATATCGAACTGAATAATCAGAGACCAAAGGCATTTTTAGCTCTTTCATAGAACATTTATCTGTCTGAAAGACCATTTGTTCCTCCGTTAATTTTTTTGGTAACTCCTAAAAAATCATCTTAATCTGCCAATCTATTTAGCTTTCTGTCCTACCAAAATAGGCATGATACATACACTGCATTTTCAACTTATTCCAGCAATACTGGATTGTTAATTAAATCAAGATTCATTAGATTTCCATATTTTTTATAGTTTGATCTCCCAGTAATTTGAATCAATCCTCTACCTTTAAATTTAACTCCATCTCCCACTTCAGTGTTTCCTAAATCAATTCTACCTTCATATTACGAACCATCAGCGATTTCCTTTAAATAGACAAACTATGCAGATTCATGAGCAATCTAGGCTAAAAATATTGCTATTCTTCTAGGAGTCGATATATCAGTTTTAATCATATATTTTTTTAGATAAGGAATAAAAATTCTAGCTTTTTCCTCGCTCAATTATTGCATAATCTACTTTAATTTTGTGATAGTTATTAATAGCTCTACATCTCGATTAGGAATAAATTAGCCTTAATTAAGCTTTACAGTTTTATAGATTGTTAGAGTCTAATACGGATCCATAAGGCAGCTTTCCTTCTAACTCAACAATGCTAAAGCAGCATTTTCGTAATCCTCACTTTCAAAATAGCTCATAAATACCTAATTGTTAAAAATAGCTTCTGAGCCGAACATTATACCCAATTTTATTAATGAGCATGTCCTATTAGGATAAACTTTACTTGCAGATAAAATAATGCTATTATTATAAAGCTAGTTTTCTATGAGTAATCTTCTAGCTTTAAATAATCCTTAACATTTTTATTCAGTATATTTTAAAGAAGAGGTGCAAGATGTCATTGGTTCTTCATAGCATATAGATTAGCCACCCATTTTGTTTTTATAGCAAGCAGGAGAGCTCATTCCAAGAAAAGACTGAATCTCGTCGTCAGAACAATAATTTATAGCTTTAGTTCCAAGATTTATGATTGTTTAATCATAAGCATCTAATTTATAACGGGTGTTAAGGTAAATATCAACTTAAGAGAGAGAATATTCAGGATTATCAAGGTCGATAGTCACTAAGGATTTATAAGTACTAGAAACTTTATTTAGATCGAATAACAAAAGCTATTAGGTTTGCACTTATCCTATATTTCTCCACTCAACAAGCAGATATTGAAGATACTAATTTCCTTTTAAGAATGTAAATTTAGAATGATAAAATGGTTTTCCAATCAAGAAATTAGCTAGTAACTCTCTATTTCTTTTGGTTTTGTAAGAAGATATTATTATTTCAATATAAGAATCAAACTAGTCAATTCCAAGAAAAATCTCCTGTTTTAAAGTTGGTTAAATTACCTTCACATTATTAGAATCATCTAAAACACCATTAGTGGCTAAAACATATTCAGCTGAGTTTTTCAATTTCAAAATTAAAATTTTATCAATATCTTTGATGGACTTAGCTATTTCTATTTAAGTAAATTGGGTCTTTTCGGTTACCTGAGTAAATCCTATTTTGGTAATATCTATAGCAGAGGGTATTACCTTTGATTAGGATATTACCCCTATAGAAGTAAGGAAATTCTATGTTTAAATTGGATCATTGAACCTTTTTCCATATTAATCTAAAATTGACAGGTGACTTAGAGTCATCGTCAAACAAGACATAAATGTAGAGCGAAGTCTCTTCTCCTAATCAGTAAAAGTACTAGGTATATTTAGACTTTATGATATTGATAAAATTGGATAACTCACTCTTTTAGGAGGATTATTGAAGTTAAGGAAAGTTTCAACCAGCTATAAGGAGCTGTACTGTGATTACTTTAGACTTGGATTTGTAACTAATTAATTGAAATCTTGATTATAAATATTGCTGGTTAATTAAGATGTGCTTGCATAGCATGTAGTATATTTCTAATACAAGGGCGAATCAATACCTACTGAAACAGTTGCTAAGAGTCTCTTAGTTTAGGGTTAGCTAGATTCAAATAATGTGACTATTGAAGAAGCTGATAGTCTTCTATCAGTAAGTGCTTAAATTGAAGCTTCTAGTTTATTAACTGAACCATCACTTGATAAAAAGCATTCTCCCAAGATGTCTTTCATTGCCTTGGAAACTTTTTTGTTAGCTCTAAAGTTTACTCCATCGTTGCAATTTTAAGTCTTCAAATCAATGTAGCAATTTATCAAAGAAAGTCTTGGAATATAAGCATAATTTTCTTTGCAACTCAAACAGCTTTATGCTTTACATATTTTGCAGCCATCTCCACAAGCCTTACAAGTATTAGTCTGCTTGTCTGGATAAGTACCTTACTCGCAAGCAACGCATTTATTATTAATTAAAATTAAATCATCAGGACAGGAATTGCAAATATTATCATCAGAACATTAAATGCAATTAGAGATATCACATTTATAGCAAAAATTATATAACTGACCACTCTGAACTAATTACTTTGAAAAAGGTTTTGTTAGAGAACTACAATTATTCAAGCATTTGCCTTACTCTAAATATTTATTTGAAGATTAAGGATTGCATTAAGTGCATTTATAGCTATCACATGTTTAGCATCCTTGACAATTTATACATTGCTCTTATTAGCAATTAGGACAATCAGCTAAACAAGTAACAGGGGGGAATAATACTACAATATCATTAATTTTATTCTAAATATTATGGCCTTAAACAATTAAAACCAAAGTTCCATTATTCATTACGAGGGATGAGTTCGAATCATAATACTTGATATTAAGGTAGTTTCTAGAGTACACCATATTTTAACTAGTTATATCTATAATGTCTTCATTGACTTTAAAATTTTAGATTACAACTGTTGAATTTGATGTTATAATTCTATCTTTGCCTTAATCTAATTAGATTTTACAGTTAGAATAGCATTTTATAGTATCTTAACCACTTAAGACATTTACATTAAGATCTGGGATTGAAGGCATATTGATTAGAATAGAGTCATCAAAATATGTCAGAGCTAAATCATTGATCATTAGATTTGTATTTGAATCTACATAAAATTTATCTCCTTCAGCTTCGCCACCTGTGGATATGGCATTTGGAGCATAAATTAAACTTACTCCGCTTTATGAATAATGAAAAGTTAGGCTCCGTATTCCAATAAAAGCCTGATGAATTTCTTCATATTTAGTTGATCTAATCATATCTTTTTAAGGTCCATAAGGGTCTTCATTCACTGTGTAAGCTGAGAAAATACCAATCTAAAGCATAAATTATCCAGACTAACATGAAAATGCATGGTTTTCTAATTTCATGTTAATTGCTTTACCTAGCCATTTTACTGGAATTAATTCTCTTATCCAAAAGGGCATACTGTCTTATTCAGAACAATCATAAAATCGATAATAAAAAAACCAATTTGTGTTACCCGAGTTTAGGCAATCATAACCTATACGTTATTTCTCAGTTCCATCACAATTAGCAGTAAGAATCAAATATATACCTGACTAAGGCAATCAAGATAGAACATTCCACATATATGAATAAATTCCTAGAGGTTCAGTCGACATATTCTCTGGATAAAACAAATTTTAGTATCTCCGAGCATATTACCCAGGTAGTTCAACTTCACTGCCTAATAGTACTGTGCCATTAGCAAAACTCAGGAAGAATATCAATATCAAGTAGAGAGACTATATTTTCGTAATAATTTATGTTGGGAAAAAATTAAAATAGGATCCAAACATATTAATAATTAATTAACAAATCAAAGGCTTTAAATAAAATATATTAGATGAACGATAAAAAAATAGAATTCAACCAACATAAAGAGCAAGAATCTTAAGAATTGGATTCAAATGAGCCGGATCTTATCTCCAAACTTGTTGTTAAAAAAGGAAAAATAGCTCCAAAATTTAGCAAAATAGAAGAAGAACTTGTGAAATAAAAGAAAGATAACCTCATTAATAATGAAAGGAAGTATGACATTGGAAAATAACTTTCAAGAGATTCATTAAAGCATTAAAATTAAAGAATAATGAACGAGAAGATTTAATATAAGGAAAGTGAGCTTTTAGAATCTAATAGACATTTGTAAGAAGAAAATAAAATTGAAGGTGATCCCTAAGAAATTTCATTCTTTGATTAAAATTTTCCATATGCCTACAATGATAAAGTTATCGAAGCAGAAGATATTTTTGTATTTGATCCTAGCAAAATAAATGATGTGGATATAGAAAATTTACATCTATCTTAAAGAAGTGATTGAGAATACTATTAAAGTCGAAATTCTCATTAAAACTTAAATGAGGAGTCAAAATTATAAAATGACTCAAGAAATCTTGAAGATAGTGGTAATATGCTGAATCCCTAAGAATTAATTCAAAATATCTCTATATAAGAATAAAATTTCGTATAAGTTGATGAAACAGAGAACCGAATTGAAACATCTAATATTTAAGAAAATTAAAATTAGGTTAGATGATACTTTTCAAAGAAAAAACTAATTATAATAGGAATTATCAGTACAATCTTAGTTATTACAACTATTTCAATTGGTGTCACATTCCATTTCAAACAAAATGAACAAGCTGAATAAAAACCAATTTTGGCATAAAACAGGCCATTCGGCAATATTTATGAGGACTAGTTTGGTGTGCAAATGATTTAATTTCCCATCAATAAAGTAAATTTCACAGAAGCTCTTAGCTCTGGTAAATTGAAATACTTACCCATAAATTTTGAAGTTAGAGAAGAAGCTAACTATTCTGCTAATGTGACATTTTAAATGGATTCAGATATATTTTCGAGTAATAAAGAAGCATTAAATTCTTAAGTCATGCAATTAGATGTAACCTTTTTTACTTAAAATATTACCAAAGAATACATTACTATCATAACTTACAACTAGATATAACAAAAAGAACAAAATACTACACAGAATGTTGATGATAAGGAAGAGGAAGCTAATATAGCAGAATTGTTATAAAACTAGGAATTGATGAAAGATTAGAATTTCAAAGATTTTCTCTTATATTCTTAAAAAGATGATGAAGAATCTCAAAAATTTACTGAATAAATCTTAGAGAGCATCATAAAAATGTCAATTTGTAGAGTATCAAGAGCTGGTTAAATTTTACAGTGTGAATTTGTGAAGAATATGACAACTGAAGAGAGGCAACTATCTTTAAATTTACTGAAAAACTATATTCCTGATATGAAGATTGATAATTACATGACATAGAATGGTAAACTCAAGATGATTTAAAATAATTCGAAAAATGGCAAAAGAATCTTAGAGACTGGAATTATAGTAGAATAAAATTCTGACCAGAGTGATTAGGGGTAAGATGAAACTAATTCAATAGGACTCGCATCAGGAGCTGAAATAAATGATGAGGATGATGCCAAGACTGTAAGTGGAGACACCCAGTCTGCACATGGTTTAGACTTAAACACAGGCAAAATTCAAGATGTGGAGAGATCTGATTCGCTTTCTTATGAAAACAAATACAATAAAAGTGAGGAAGGGGCTCAACCTCCTCCTTTCAAAAAAATGTCACAAAAATCTTAGATATCAATGAAGAGAAAATCTTCTGAGATTCTTCTTGAGGGAGTAGATTATGTAAAGATCTATTTAGCTCACACAGTAAATAAGCTTAGATTTGATTTTTTGGAGGACCCAACTAACAAGCTATTTGAATTGCCTGCTGAATTAAGTTAAAATTCAACTTAAGGATAGAATCTTAGAATTTTAGATCAACTAAATGATATAGACGATCTCCTAAATAATGGAAGTAGAAATCTTTTGGGTGTTAGGTAATCACCTTTTGAAGAGTTGAAAATATCTCTTGCCAAAATAAGCTTATTTGTTGTAAAACTTGAAGCTGGATTTGGTTTGAAATGTTTAAATGAGTAGTAATGCACAGGTGGTTTGTATTTAAATCCTTCTCCTTTGCCAGTTATATGGCCAGTCAGGCAAACGTTTTAGATGAACATGATGAAGACTCTAAGAGAATACAGACATTACAAGACAGTTGTCTAGAATAATCTTCAAGCGTTTATGTATCTCTCTAACAATCTAACTAGCATAATCGAATCTACAGTTTTGGAGCCATTTGATTTTATTGAACAAAAAATAAATCTTTTCTTTGCCCCAATTAATACCGTAGAATAAAGCATTAAGAATTATACAGATATTTTTATTACTGGAGCCATGAATATTGCTGAAAGTTTATCACTATCTCTGGCCATTTAAAATGCCTATGAAGCTCATTTTTCAGTTGAACTGAAGGCTTTCAAGTAATTTTGTGAAAAATAAATTGATGAAGCCTATCAAAAGAGATTAGATTTAATCGTTGCTAGTTTAAAGTAGATTTAAAATGCAGATATTCAAAATTCTCCACAGCTCTAATAAGATTTCGCTGATCTAAAAAATGAGATTTTGGCTGACTTTGACAAAATAGTGGATTAAATTCTTCAGAGCGATGTTGATTTCTTTTCCAAATTGCCTACATTATTCGCTTTACCTAAAGACTCCTTTAATGGTATTGTTGACACTAGTCCTTTCTTTGCAGATATGAATAAATTTAGTATTAACACAATCATTCAATTAGTGGTTAACTCGTTGGTCTAATCATTAGATCCTACACTTTCAATGCTGAAGGAGCTTAGAGAAGGCATCAAAGTAAATTCTCTGATATATCACTCTTAGGCAAGAGAATCACTTGAAAGTATGCTCTCAGTCAAATTTTATGGCTCAAATACCTATAGCTCGTCACATAAGGAAATTATTCTAAATTTAAAGTAAAATATAAACTCCTTATAAGCAACTGACTTTTAATTTGAACTAGATTAAAATGAGCTGAGTTTTTCTATTAATGACCTCATGACTAACTTTATTGAAACGGTTGTAAGAGAAGTTATGAATGCAGCTGATTCAACTTAAATTTTAGTCTAAAATAAAGGCTTTTTTGAGGATGCATACAACAAAGTGATTGCTGATTGTAAAAATATCAATGGAACAATTTTTGTTGATATCAAGAATTACTTCTCTAATAGTATTGATGTCTTTTTAAAGAAGGTGGACTTATTTAAAAAAGACTTGGTATAACTAGGACCAAATATCGAAACTTAACTTAAATAGAAAATCGACGTAGATCAATAAAATCTTCCAATTGATCTCAACTAAGAGTTAAATGACTATAAAGTAATGATTAGCTAGCTAGATGATATTTTCGATGAATTAAGAAGTTTGTTAAAACTAAACAAAAAGATTTCAGAAAAGCTTAACAAAATTTAAGATAATGTGAAAATGACAATAGATGCCCCTAAGCGAGTTGAAAGCTAGTTTAAACAAACAATTGAAAGATTAAATCAAGTTAGAAAATAACTATCAATTGAATTACAGCTACCTACATTAGATTTTTCACTTTCTGAAATTATGCTAGATTCAATTAAAAATTAAATAATCTAGAAACTCAAGCAGGAGATTATTTAAATTGCAGTCGATACCACTAAATCTGTGGCAGCATAATACTCGACCACTTTTTTCACTAACATTGAAGGTTTGGTTGACTAAAAATTGAAAGGAATAATTCCAAGCTCCTCAAGAACTACAATATATAAGTCAAATCCAGTCAATAAAAAAGTTCTATTATATTCAATCCCCATACCTTTCCCTTTTGGATATGTGTTAGTATAAGTTTGGTAATAGGTTTCAGCTAGTCTTGATATTTACATGATATTTTAGAATGGTGACTTCTTGTTTTCAACTGAAGCAACAGGTAAATTTTCTTATTAATTAGCAGGCGTTTTAAATCTCTACATCATTCGGTTTTAAGTTGGTGTTGAAGCTTTTATATTTTAAGGCTTGGCCTATGCTAAGGCTGGAGTGAGTATACTGTCTCTTACTCCCTCGGCATTCATTTAATCTGGAGTTTACTTTAATGTACTAACAATGGTAACTTCAGTTTTATTTTCATATCTAACAATCAAGTGGTTTAAAATCTGCTTTAGAGTAAGAATAAATAGGTGTTTGACCATTAGTGTTTGCTTTTCCATTCCATGGATAGAATGGTCTGAATGGAAAACTCTGATATAATCTTAGCTTAAATTAGGAGCAGAATATTAAAAAGAATTTATTAACAAAAAATGGCAATTAAAACTAATTTGATTAGGAAGCTTTTAATTTAAAATAAATAATTTAAAGAAAATGAGAATTACCTGATTTATTATGGAAAGTTAATTTTTATCAATAAGTATTAGAGAGTAGGGGTTTTGGGGTTTTGGGG